TTTTAGTCTACGAGACTCCGGGAGAAGGTGAAGAGTGCGGAGCCGCTAACTACGTCTTCTATCACTTTAAACTAAACCCAGAGGCCGTCACCTCCTGTACCAACCTGGTGTACTTGGTTGACATCATCGAAACCGATGGTGAGACACGCACGGGGTGCACTTAAAGGTAACTCAAAAAAACTATTTAGTTACGGTAAGGCAGGCTTGTGTCGCATCAACAGTTCTTTTTCCGTCCACATACTGTACCATTTTCTGATGCCCAGACAATGCAAAGACGATAGGTATATGTGCGTAGACGCAGTGTCTGTCAGTTTCCGCGAGTCACAGACAATCTGACCCCTACTCCCGATGCACCGGACCTCGTTCGGGGGGAGGGGGAGTCTATGAGGTCATGCAAAATGACAATGACCAAACGGCCATAGCCAGAAGGAGTCACTGCTGCCTGACTTTCAGTCCTCAAGAGGGTATGGTTATCCTGTTAGCTGGCACACTTCTGGGTCATGACAACTAATGCCTCGTGATAGCTTCAAACTCAGCCGATTTAGTTTAGTAAGGCTGAGTTGCCAAGATAATCGAATCCTCCAAAGTGTTAGCATCCCCATTTCCTCCCTCTTCAGTGCACCAGCCAACTGCCCGAATTTTCCCACCGACTAGGACTGAGACCAAGCCTGGTGCCTGCTATGGCCTCAACGTCTCCCTCTACGCATCTCGCACACGCTGTAATTTATCCTTCGAAACTTGCGCAAGCGAGACGAGTATTTACGCGTAAATGAAAATGCACCGGTCATTCCCACGGGGAAAATTTTTCCCACGTGCCTGTATCAAGGAATATATGCGCAACACTCTTGTGATTGCTGCTGTGCATATTCGGGCGGAATAGGAGGCCTGTACGTATCCTAACTGTGTTTTTGCAGGCACATAAACACAAACAGGGGGCTTGGCTTGTGCTGCTTTATGAAATTTGTTTTGAATTCGCAGTTTTTTCTATGTCCTTCGATACTTTAAGCAGGTAAAGAGAGTGTGAACCGCATATTACTAGGAACGTTTGGCAGATTTGAATAATGCAATTGACCCAATTGTGAAAAAACCCACGGTCTCGGTGACAGTCGAACTCGCACAGCAGGGCAGGCTTTTGCGCAGCCAAAGCTCTACCACTGAGCTACGAGGCTCGCCATGGTTAAATTCACGGCTCACGGTGAGTCTCGTAGCTCAGCTGTAGAGCGTTGGCTCCGCAAAAGCCTGCCCTGCTGTGCGAGTTCGACTCTCACCGAGACCGTGGGTTTTTTCACAATTGGGTCAACTGAATTATGCAAATCTGTCAAACCCCCCTAGTAATTTTTTTGAAAGTTGTCAAACTACGAAAATCCGGACTGCGAGTCCACCATGTCACCTGCATCCGCATTGCTTTCTTGAAACTAGTCCTTGCTTCAGATGGCTGTTTAGGTGATTGGGAAAGGCCCAGAAAAGATTTGATTACAAATGCGAAGAAAAGGGGGGAGCCAGAGTGATTATCACATGTGTTTCGGTTCCCTCTTCTTTTATAAAACACGAATAACGATCGCATCTTCGCCATCTTTTATGGAGTAATGAAGTTGCCTTGTCCCAAATTTTGAAAACCAACGCATGGGTACATCTCGGCCGAAATTGCCTATCCTCGCATGCAGGCATGCATGTGTACTAAAATGATCTCCTCAAACTCCTCGTGGCTTGAGCAAAATACACACAGAAGATGCTTATTTCCTGTTCATTCACTAACGCCTGCGAAGAAAGTTATATAGGCCACCAGGTGCAGATACCTGGCAAACCAACTACTGGACCAATTACAGCGAATCACGATACCCTCTTCTACCAAATTTGCACACATGGCAACCACAAATGTCGTAATAGTGTCTCAACCGGGGTTTAAATACTTCAGTTATAACTATTTTGACACATGAGGAAGTTTGATACCGCAACGTTCGCATCATAGATTGTCATAACCTTGAAAAGAAACCAAGTAAGTACGCTCTGCACGAAAATCTGGCATCATTTTAGGCCCAAAACTGCTGCTGGAAGGGAAAAAAGTAATTCCTTCCAATTACTTGATAAAATCAAAAGAGAGTAAATAGTGCAGGATAAATTATACAGCATATCGTACGAAGGTGCTTCCTTTAAAAATTTATGGCGATATAAATGAAGAGTAATGACAAACTTTTAAGCTCCTTGGTGCCTCGCCATTCGACTGAATGGCTGCCTTCTTGTACCGCATCACGCCTTTCTCGTAGGAGATGTTATGGAGGTGCTTTGCTGTAACCGTCCGATTGTCACTGGCGTAGCGCCAAAAGCCGGTTGACGGGTTGTATTCATAGAAGGGCAGGAAGTACCAGCCGTAGGTTGCAATAAAGCAGATAGCATCCAATATGAATTCGATCTCTTCGTCCGGATAGAAGAAGGGTAGATTAATGCGTGTGAAGCCAGGTCTGTAAATGGAACAGAAAATTCTAAATTTACTTCGGACTTCCTTGGAATTAGGCAATAACCATGCTTTAAATGCATATATATATATATATTCACTCAGGAATGAGCGCACACCGATCCCGTAGGTTTTCCGAAGTAAAAAGACCTCGAATGGGTTGAAGGGGTTACGAAAAGGTAACCACCTGCCAGGTCGAAGTCGGCCGAGCTATAATAGCCAAGAAGGATGACAGTGTTCGGGGGGTTACTTGATACACAACTGTTTCGGGCTTATTTGCCCTCAATCCGCCGAGTATTACCCATCTGCACCGTGTGTATGCACGCATATTTGTGTTTCCGGTACTTGCTGGTGGTCGCGGTTATGCTTGACTGAATGAATGCAAATAAGCCCGAAACAGTTCTGCATCAAGTTACCTTCAAAGGCTGTCGTCCCTTTCTAATATCTATATAACCAAATGGTGGGCCTATGGGTGACATTATAATCCCTAATTGTGCCCCTGCTCCGTGACTCTCCGGGTGAACATATGCCCGTAGGGTTATTTACACTTAACATTGGATGTGACTGACTGATGATGGCTTATAAGCCAAAAATTGCCATTCCGGTCCCCTTTTCTTTGTCGGTTCCATTGCATATATATGCATGTATATTGAAGACGGTTAAGCGTTCTCTGGGACCAGTTGTTTATTAACCCGACTTTTAGAACTCTTACGCGAGCCCATTGTCAAGGAATTAAATGGTACTTAGCTCACTGTATATGTAGCTCAGCTCTGTGATTGATTTGTTCGCCCAACGCGAGATGAGCATCCGGAAGATCGGTATGCCTACTAATATAATCCGCATGCGAGTGCCATACCTCTTGTAGCCGGCATGAGATTCGGTCGTCCGACTGAAACAGTATTCGCACGCGTTTGGGGCCGAAGCCGTGCCCTGGCGTGGGTGCACGAGCAGCCTGTCCTTCCGTCCCACGGCGAGTTCGCGCTCGTGCACTCTCATGAGAACCCGTCTACCAGTTTTGTCAACATAATTGGCTTGAC